TTGACCACTAGTTTGCCTATTATTTTGTCAGTTACTTTGCATAGGCTATTTATCATAAGCCAATCTTTGCCGAAGTAAGTTTATATTTTTTTCAGTCTGTCTAATGACAGATGGTTGATAGGTGTTCATTCGATCCAAAAAAGGATGTTGCCTATTTTTCCAGTGTATGCATTAATTGTTGTCCCATAACATCAACCAATCCTCCCTACGAATTTGCTGATTGGGCAGATGAAACAATTGAAGGTCCAATTTCTAGGCCCTGTCCAACATTTTGGACTTATGTTGCATATCCTGAAATACTAGCCTCTTTGACCAATTGTGCAGGACCACTTGAAGCAGGCACATCCACAAGATATGACTCAACATTATCCTCTAGGTTATGTGTTTCTAGATCTCCTTCTACACCTTATTCAAGGCGTTTATTTTCTCCTTGTCTCCTACGTCTAGCCATTATAATGGAAGTCCCACTTGGCGTGCCAAAAATATATGTTGGCTTTTTTGGCTTTCAAAGGTTAGAAATGTAATTAGAGCGTATTAGCAAGGATCAATAAGCCCTTACAGAAATAGTAAATACCAACTAATTAATCAAACAATTGCTTCGAAGTTCTTTTAGCATCAATGAAGAGAACTTTTTACTGGTGGCTTGTTTTAGGAGAAAATTCAAAAAAATTAATCAAAAAAGTAAAGAAGGAGGGAGAGAACAGTGTCAAAAATTGAATTTCATTAAATAAACAAATGTTTGCAATAGTACCTTCACACGTCCACAGCTTCGAAGGGAATTACAGCAACGAACAGACTAACTTAGAATTATTCCTAAGAAATTGAAATGCAATGCGAGAAAGTAAAGAAGTGGAAAGTAAAGAACTGGAAGGAAAATGTAAAGTAAATAAACTAGTTTCTGGATCTGGTTCTGGTCCTCTCCACTATCAGCTTTCTCCTCTATTTTAGGCTTTGGTAGTAACCGTCGAAGTGGCTGATAACTGTTGAAGTGGATGATAACCGTCGAAGTAACCTCCATGATCATGTGACATGGCTTCAAGCATCTTGCCTTCACTAAGCCATTTCTTGCGGTTCGACTTTCCTCATGAATTTGAATTTAAATCTTTAAGAACTGTTTAGCCACGTCACCTTACTCTTTTCGATTGTTCCAATACTTTACAGATCCATTGCCATTGACATAATTTGTCATGTGTCCTCTGATGACTGGAGACCTTTACTAATTCCTCAAGTTACCCTTGATGCACCACGTGTCAGGCTGTGATTGACTGATACAAAATATATGACTAACAAAAATAAAATTGAAACTAGATATTGTATTTTGTTTTGAAATTGAAGCTCACAGTAAGGGCAATGGATGCTCCTCTTTGTATAACTTGTTATTTATAATTGTTTGAATTTGAAAATTTGCATAGGAGTTACACTTGTGTCCACATGGTTAAAAAGTTATTTGAGATTGGTTTGTTAAATAAATAAGTAAGATTTAAATATATTTTAAAAGTTATTCGATAAGTTTATATGTATTATAAAAAATCTTGTGCTTGATTCGATAAATATTGATTCAAATAAGTTTTTTATATAAGCATGTCAAATTTAAATACATTTTGAAGTTCAAGTTTGAATAACTTAATACGAAGCTGGTCCCTTTTCCTTGTTTGCTGTTACTCCTTCTCTTTCCTAGCTTATTGCTACATTTTTTCTTCCTTTCCTAGTCCATAGCCACTGTAATGGTCTAGCACTGTTGACAAAAAATGATCAAATTATTTAAATTGCCCATTTTCAATTAGTTGTAAAATAATGGATTATTAGAATTGATACCGTTTTAAAAATTAAGAGTTTAAATTGAACCAATTAAAAAGTATGGATTTAAAATTGGTTTTTCCTTTGTTTTTTTCCTTTTATATAATTTAAATCTCTATATATCATATATTGTCTTAGGATAAAAAAATGGAGAAATTATAATTCAATATATATATGTATATATATATATATTTTTTTAAAAAAATTAGAATTAAAATAATAAACTTTAAAAACATTAATAATTAAAATTTTAAATTTTTTTCATATATCAATAATTATTTTTTGAAAGCACCACTTAATTGTAATTTTTTCGTATAAAATTTGATATTTTGAAAATGTAAATTGTAAAACTATAAAACTAAACGGGTCGGATGGAAGGGGTCCAGTTGGATCCGGAATTGTTTCTGACCTTCTCTCCCTCTCTCTCTCACTGAACCGAAGACCCCCAAAACGCACCATTGCGAAAACCTTAACATGTCTCTACTTAAAACCCTGGTGTGTTTGATTGAGGGATAAGGGGGGGGATTATTTACTGTGCGGATTGTAATCCGCACAGTAAATCCAATCCGATGTAAATTCAATAAAATTTAAATGTCTCAATTTAAAAATAAAATAATTTTATTTATCTTTTTATTGATGATTTATTTATTTAATTTTTTCAAATAATTTTTTGTAGATATTTTATTGATGTTTTATTTTAATTTTTTTTTTATATTTTATTTAATTTCATTATTTAAATTTTAATAGATGTTTCATTTAATTTCATTATTTAATTATTACTATTTTTAGAAACAAATTTATTTAAAATTTTAATTAAAAAATTAACATATATTTTAATTGATATTTTATTTATTTTATTTTTCAAAAATAAATTTATTTAATTGTGTAAAAAATAAAATAAAATAAATTTTTATTTAATCTTGCTAAAAATAATTAAAATATTAAAGATATGTTTAATATTGCTATTACTTAGTAAACAATTGAAAAAGGTAAAATAGTCTTTTGTTTATTTATCCTATCCAGTCCGTCTAACCAAACGTTGGATTCACTAAAAATAGTCTTTTCCAGGCATCGAATCCCATGAAAAAATAAACACATGATACATATCCAATTCAACCAAATAGTCCGAGAGATTTATAGTCCCAAAACTCAAGTCCGATGGATTCTAATCCCCCCTTATCTAGTCCGTCCAATCAAACACATAACGTTACTCTACTTATGTGTGAGTTTTGTTGTCAGATTTGTACCAATTTGGGAAGATTCATGAAGAGTTTGGAACAATATTGATCCGATTGGTGAGTATTTTTGTATTTATTCAATGTTTTAGGGTTTTAAATTTAAGCTTTTTGTCCCCTTTCTGATTTAGGGTTTGAAAGTTAGAGGTGTTCTTTTGATATATTCTGTGATGGCTATACAAAGGTCAAATGCAATGAATAACTAAAAATAGTTTAAAAAAGTGTTGAAATTAAGAAAAAAATAACTAAAACAATAAGTTAAAACATGGAGCAAGTTAAGCTAGTAAGCAAGCACAAGGAGGGGAGGCTACCCCTTCCATTTTTGGAACCTCAAAACATGATTTTAGTTTCTGAAAAAATAAAAATAAAAAAAATATTTATTATATATTGTATGCTAGTCAAGTGGTAAGAGTCTTATTTATTTGACATAAGTCTAAGGTTCAAGTCCCCTCCACTCATCTATCTAATTTTTTTTTTATTTTAAATAAAAAAAGTGGACACGTGACAGCGTAAGAAACAAAGGGTTCAGGACACCATAAGGGATGTGGCAGCATAAGGAACAAAGACTTCAGGACAACATAAGGGATGTTCACTTTATAATAGTACTAGCGGTTGTCACACGCGATACTTATGCGATTCAAATAAATAAAAATAAAATAAAATATTTATTATATATTATATGCTTGTCAAGTGGTAAGAGTCTTATTCATTTGACATAAGTCTAAGGTTCAAGTCCTCTCCACTCATCTATCTATTTTTTTTTTTATTTTAAATAAAAAAATAGACACGTGTCAATATAAGAAACAAAGCCTTCAACAAAGTTTCAGGACACATAAGGGGGTATTGACTTTATACTATAACTAGCGGTTACGGCACATGCGATGCGTGTGTAAATTTTTTTTTAAAAAAAAAATTATGCGATTGAGTCAATAAAAATTGAATTAAGGAACACTACGTTTTAATTGATAAAAATTTTAATACATCCTCATTCAATTTGTTTTTGTTTTAATTTATATATTCAATTGCATAATTTTTTTTTTTTTGAATTTGATATGATATATATATACATTCTCATATATTTCTGCATTATCTCAAATAAAATAAAAATATACTCACCAAGATAATATATATAAAAAATCTATACAATTCTTTTTATTTTTTTATTTTATTTTTGCAATGAACGTAATAAAGAAATAAAAACTATTAAAGAATTAATTTATACAAAACCCAATCAAACAACCCTCGAGAAGTCAATATCACCAATGCCATGACCTACTCTTGGGTCCTACTCTTGGTCTGCAAGTGTTAGCATTTTCAATAAGCTTTCCCAATATCATTACCTGACAAAGTTCTAAGAGACTTGTCGATGATGGTGGGTTTTTGTAGAAGTGAAGACAACGATACCTATCCGGAAGCACTCAATAAACCAATGATCTCTCTCTGTCTCTCTCTCTCTCTACATATACATAAATACATATATATATATATATATATATGCATATCTGTATGTAGGCATTTTCTCTCTCTAGGTTCTCACTCCTCTATGTGTCGTCGTCCCCTCAGGAGAGCCTCGTTGCTGTGCTCTCGCTGGCAAGAAGAAGAGATCGAGAAGAAGTTGTTTCTAATAATGTTTTTGTCTCCCTAAGGTTTCAATCATTCAAAACAAAATTCGAAGATGTTGAAACTGATTTAGAATTGCTATGTAGTTGGGAAACGTGGGGTAGTGAAATTGATTGGTTTGAATTTATCATATTATCCTTAACTACAAACTGATATAAGTGCAAAAATAATATAATCATTTAAGAAGTTATGGTCATTTTTCCTTAAATGAAAAAAAATTTCTAAGCGAAGTTTCAGACACCAAAGTTCAAGTTCATGTTGGATTTTAATAATAGTATAGATAGTATAATAGTATAGATAGATACACACGCGCATGAACATGCATATGTTGGAAAATTTAGGGTTTTCTCAAGTTTATTGCAGCTAATCATCGAAATCGTGCTTTGAATCAATCAATCCTGCGTTTGGGCACTCAGAAAGCCTGGTTTCGGTTGAGAATTTCAGTGGGCAAGAACGAATTTCTGACTCCGAAGGCGATTGCGAATCGAATCAAGGCGAAGGGTCTGCAGAAACTTCGGTGGTACTGCCAGATGTGCCAGAAGCAATGTCGGGACGAGAACGGGTTCAAGTGCCACTGCATGAGCGAGAGCCACCAGCGCCAGATGGAGGTCTTTGGCCAAAACCCCCACCGAATCGTCGACGGCTACTCCAAGGAGTTCGAGAGAGAGTTCCTCGACCACATCAAATGCAGCCACTGCTTCAGTCGCATTGCCACCACCGTGGTCTATAACGAATACATTGCTGATCGCCACCATATTCACATGAATTCGACTCAGTGGGCTACCTTGACTGAGTTTGTCAAGTATTTGGGGCGCACTGGCAAGTGCAAGGTTGATGAGACCCCAAAGGGCTGGTTTATTACATATATAGATAGAGATTCAGAGACCCTTTTCAAGGAAAAGTTGAAATGTAAGCGAACTAGGGCCGATCTAATAGATGAGGAGAAGCAAGAGAGAGAGATAAGGAGGCAAATTGAGAGATTTTGTTTTTGGTCATCGGTGGAGGGTGACATTGTTGTTGTTGAATAAATTATGTGTATGTTTTAAACTTGTACGGTATTTATGTAGTTTAGCACGTTGTGTTATTGCTTGAATGTTGTTTGGGAGGTCTATTTCTCTCCAGTTAAGCCGGTAAAGCATGGTGCCTTACTAGAGGTTCATCTTCCTTCTGGTATGTGCTCGATAAAGTGTGAAATTGAGATCTATTTTTCTTCGGGAGGCCAGTAAAGTGTAGTGGCTTGAGATAGGTTCCTTTTTCTTCCGGTTTGCGCCCAGTAAAGTGTGACCTTGGGGTCGTTCCTCTTCGGGTGAGACCGATAAAGCATTAGTGCTATGTGGATTGTATCATTTGCCATTTGCGATGTAGGCCTATGGAAATGGAAATATGTATTATGTTCAATTAATTATATTTAGAAATATATGTTTCTTGGTGTTTTTGTTATGGGTGTTCATTGCCCTTTGGCCTATGGACAAGGAAGATAGTAGATGTGTTGTTGCATAAGTGTGTGTAGTGGATTATTGAGTTATAGGATTGGGTTATGACTTGTATCTATGAACATGCTTTCAAAATAAATGTGGAGATAGAATTCTTTTACATTTACGTGGAGGTTTAAATAACCAAGGTTGCATTGTGGAGAAGTATTTTTTGAACTAAGCTGGATAATTGGAAAGAAAACAAATGGTTTTACACCTTGTAGTGTTCAAATGCATGTTTTTGGAGAAAATGTACTTACAGAAGTATATTTTGAATATTAAACTGTCACATTATTTATATTGTACATTATGGTGCATTCATGATCATAGAAATTTGTACGTTGTTATTGTTTAGGATCATGTTGGGATCTCTACTGAACTTTATGTTCATCCCACATTGCTAATCATTTTTAGGTGCAAGTTTAGAGATTATTCAAGATCGGTGATCTTCCTTAATTGTTGGCCACGGGGCCTATACTTGTTGGTGGAACGCCATTGTTGTAAAAGGGTTAAATCCTTACTTTTAATGTAAAGATGTAAGCCTACGAGCATTTTCTTTAAATGCAATTTCTGTTGCATTCCATATATGTACGATTAAAAAGATTTTTATTTGTTTATGGAGGTAATGTATGTATAGTTCTGCTTGTTCTTAATGGAAATGGATTTATGTTAATGGATATGATAATGTTATTCGGATAATAAAAAGTGGGGCGTGACAACTTGGTATCAGAGCTAATCGGGTTTGAATACCTTGGGCTCGTGGGAAGTGATTTTTTTTCCACAATTGGTTTATTATGCTTGGTGAGGACATTTGCATATAGTTAGGATAAGTATTAGGACTCTATATGTTGTATTTATGTAAGCATGTGATTAAGTCATGGATAGTATTGGTAGCCGGTGAACTTGCTTTGAGGTCTTATTGGAAACACGCTTGATCAACATAGTTTCGGATGAGAATTTCTTGAGAGTTCCGGGGAAGAGTATCTATGTTTGTGGACTTGATTAGATTATGTGATTAAATGTTTAACTGTTTATGTGATTTTGTGTTATGTGTGTCTTGCACCTTAGCAGTTGTGAGTGTGTGCCTTAGGGAAAGTCGTTGTGTTGTTCACTAAGTTTGGTTTTGTTTTGGTTTATAGGATGTCTACACGAGGTGGTAGAGGTCGTGTTGGAAGTAGAAGTGTCGGTAAGGGCACAACAGTTCCGTTAGCACCTGCCCTTATAACATCGGCTGTAGGCGAGGAAGCTGCACGTGAGATTGTAAGGGTAGTAAGAGATGCTCTAGCTTGCAATGAGAGAGACCATGGTCATACCCTTAAGCTTACCATGGAGTTTCTTCACTCTAATCCGCCTGAGTTTTTGGGAGAGCCTAAATCGTTGGAGGTAGAAGATTGGTTAGAACAAATTCCCAAGACTCTTGATATGCTCAGAGTCGAGGACGAGGAGTTGAGAGTTAATTTGGCTGGTTTCCAACTAAAGGGAGACGTCGGTTATTAGTGAAAGTCTGCGAGGATTTTTGTGGGCACCACTCTGAGGGCTTTTTGGCTAAGTATTTTCCTTCTTCTGCTTAGGAAAGATTGAGCAAACAGTTTGTTGAGTTGTGCTAGGGTGATACTCCTTTGGCACAGTTTAAGGCGAGGTTTGCTAATTTATCGAGGTTCGCTCCAGAGTTGGTCGCAATAGAGGAGTAACGTTGTTTTGAGTTGGAGAAGAAGTTGTCTGATGATATCCAAGGCAAGGTTGCTGGGGCTATGTACAAAGATTATCACACCCTAGTATAGGTGATGGCTCACGTGGAAGCTGTTAATCTTAGTGTTGGTCAATATAAGGAGAAAGATGGCATATTGGGAATTTTGACTGTTCGGGGAGGTAGTAGACCTAGTAAGAATTGGAGACGAGCAAGATCTTAGGCAGAGGCACATGCGCAGTTAATGCCTCAATCCACTTTTGGTTCTTCAGACTTGTCCTTTGGAAGGTCTAGTCAAACTCAGGCTTCATTGAGTCAGTCACGAAACATGGGACCACCTATTGTTCTAGGTATGGTTGGATGAGCTACGTTCGACGTCGTTGTCCTCTACGTAAGCAGGACCACTTTTAGTAGTCCCAGCGGGGATAATAGTGATGTCCTAGTGTGAAGGAGTTTTATTATTTGTAATGTAATATGAAGTTATCTTATTTAAAAATGTGTACCTACGAATGTTGTTTATATATATATATGTGTGTGTGTGTGTGTGTGTGTGTTGTTGTAAACCCAAATGATATGGGTATGTAATTAATCTTGAATTTTCTTGTAATGTATTGAATAATGTTGTGAGGATTAGAAAAATAGTTTTTTTAATGTTATATTATTTTCCTGGGTGGAGCGTGTATTGGCTTGTGATGTCTTGGGTTGATTTATTGTTACTTGTTAAGTAGGGGGTTATTTATCGTTATGGCTAGTCTTTATGTGGCAAGAATGAGGTTGTATAGTGTTAATGTATTATTTTGGGGTGGTGTGATACCTGTGATACCATGGGGTTCTGTGAGATAAGTAGGAGTTCCCTGATGGATGGTGAGAGTGTGTAGAGGGAATATAAGACTTGTGTCTGTAATGGTGAGAGTTGTGTTTGTATTTGTAGGGTGTTGGAAATTGGTGGTCTACAGGAAATTGTAAGTTGGTTAGCGATGTTTAAGTGTTGGGTGGTGTGTTAGGAGTGTGTTATGCTATTGTTTTACGTATTCAGGGATTTGGTTGATGGCCGTTGACCTTATCAATCTTTTAAACATAGTGTGATGAGAACATTTTCCATATAGGCATCTAAATGGTGGTTGGTTTGGTGAGCAAGAGTGGTGTGGTCTAATCTTAAGGAATCCGGCGTGATTCAAGAAACATGTGGGTTTGTGTGTAAAACTCTGTTTTGGAGTAAACAGTGCTAGGTTGCATGTAGTGTTGGGTGCCAATTGTTGAGGGTTGTTAAGTTGGGTAGTCGATTGATTGCTGTCGGAATTGGGTCACCTCGAGAGTAGCTTGGAATCAAACACAAGGATTGTAAGGTTGAGCAGCGCTTTAGGGTGGATTTGTGAGTGTTAAGTCTCACGTAGGCAAATGTGAAGTTGGTGTGAGTTGGTGGTAACCAGGTTGGGATTACGTGTTGAGGTCGTCGTGTTGTGAGCACTTTGGCGCCATTGTGTGATTGATAGATGGCGATAAGAACGAGGCTCTCAAGAATATGTAAATTTTATTTGTGTTTTCCTGTATTATTAGCACGATTATTATTTCTATTAATTTGTTGTTATAGAAATGTTGTTTTGGTGTTGAGGCATCACTATAAGGTGTTGTTAGATGACGGTTGAGGTTCACCAGTTATTTTATGTTAAGAAGAAAATTTAGAAAATGAATTTTTCCTTGTATTGTGGCCTCAAATGGCAATGTTGAACTGTAATGTTAGGATTTAATCTAAGTAGTAATAAAGGATTTTGATGCGTGGTTTAGTTGATTTAATAAAAGCTGAATCTAACAAATCATGAGAATGTGAATGATTATGTGTTCTGAATAACACTTTATTTTGTTTTCGAAGGATGGTTGCAGAATTTTAAGTTTTACGTGGAAATCAAAAATGTATTTTGGTTGTAGGCGGTGCAAGTTTGAGCACCTTTTGAGAATTTGTTTTATAGAAGAGAGACATTTTCAAAGAAAATGAGAAATTAAGTTTTTTTTTTTTACATGGACGTGTTGTGAATTATGTCATCTTTCATTGTTGGTTTGTGTAGTGACTTAGCTTGGATTGCTAGTCATGTGTTTAGGTGTCTTGTTTTAAGGAGGGTTTGGTGTTGTTAGGGCTTATTATTCCGGAGCGTTGTCTTTTGGGTCATGTTGTTGTGGTAAGTCCTCATCTTTTATGAGAGTTGACCAAGAGTTTTGTTGTAAAGATGGTTTCTTTTCCTTAGTGCTCGGGTGTTGAGTACTTGGTGAAGGTTGACGTCCTTGGAGTGCAAGTCCGTTGTTTGTTTTTCTCATCTCGTAGACCCAACAAGGTATGTGGGTCGAAGAATCATTCATGACCTATTTCTTGTATTCTTGCTATTTGGGTGTTTTTGGGGCCCCGACGCCTTGGACCGGGATCCAAGAAAATTTTCAAAGTATGGATTTAGGCTTGGGTTAGTGGTTGTATTTATTTTTGTGGTTGGTTTGCCTTGTGTTACGGAATATTCTTAAATTTCAAGGATGAAATTTCTTAAGAGAGGAAGATTATAACGGCTTGGGTTACACCCGACCCTTTCATGTTTTTGGATTTGGGATCCAACACTCTTTATCGTTGTCTATACTCTTTTTTGTCTTGTGTTGGTGTAGACACCCCATTTTTGACCGTCCTCAAGACTTGGATGTCACCGCTTGAACACCCGGTGATCATCCTTGTTTGTGTTTGCCTTGAGTTCCCGGAGACCTCGGCTACGTGCCTTGCCTCAGGATCTCTCGTCTCGACTGTTTTGTGTCTGGTTTTGCACCAAACACTTGTGTTTTGCCTTGGAGGGGCAGGGAATGGCTTGTGAGCCATCCCCACACATCACCGGCCATGGCTTGAGGCCACCGGTTGTGTTTTGTTTCCACCGGCCAAATGTTTGGCCGGCCGGCACTATATATGGTCGATCGGCCATCTATTTTGGCCAAATTGCATTTTTGGCTGACCGACCACTGTTCATCTGCTTTTGCAGATATTTTATGCTAGCTGGCATACACTTTTCTCCCCTCCATATGTATGGAGGGATCTCCCTCTTGTTGGCTTGCCTTGGAAGCTTTACAAAATTGAATGATCTATAAGAGGAGGCCTCTTCTCCCTCTTTTAGGGGAGACAACTTTTTTTCAGAGTTTTGGGTTCTAGGGTTAGGGTTTGCATATATCCTATCTTTATATCTCTCTCTCTTTGTCTTTTTGTGTGTGTTTTGTCTTACTTTTGTACACAAACACCCACCATCACACCTTCTCTTGGTTGCTGAGGGGCCAGAGGTCTTTTCTTGAAGTTTTTAGACTGGTTTGAAGCCAAAAAAGCAGCTGGAGTGCTGTTCTTGAAAGAGGTCTTCAAGGGTAAGGACTATACCTTTAAATACCCCATTTTTGCATAGCTTTTTTACCTATCTTGCAACTGTTTTTAGGCTTTGCATATAATATATAAAAGTTCTATTTTTGAGTCCTTTAAATAGTTGTTTAAGATTGTTTTGAGCTTTGGGGTTGTTTGACCCCTCTCAAGCCTTGTTAGGCTCCATTTTTGTGCATTTTTGGTGAGCTCCGGGACCATTGTGTTTGGGCCTCCTCACCAATGACATCTTGAGGGATTTCAGTGGTGAGGATGGTGCCTTGAGGTCCCAAGAAGGAGAGGGCCACCCCCTCTCCTTGTTGTCCTTGAAAAGGGTCATTTTTACCTTTTGAGGGAGCACCTAGTTTAGGTTCATGTTGATCATGCCTTAATTGATTTTTGTGCTTATATCTCCATGATATAGCATTGTGTTAAGTTGGTTTAGGTACCCCATGCTTGTTTAGCATACATGCCTTGTAATGCCATGTTTTGGCCTTAACATGCTTTAAGTATTGACCCTTGTTCTAGCATGGTTTTGGCCAAGCTTTGTGAAGCTTTTGTGTATGTTTTAGTGTGCTTTAGCTCTGTTTTAAGTTGCTTTGGTCATGCTTAACATATTTTGTATAGTTTCTTTGCATTCTAGCATGTAGGCCTTGAATGTGTGATGTCATGAGCATGCTTTGCTTGCTTTAATTGGTTGGTTTGGCACCTCCATTTTATGCAATTTCAGAGTTTGGTATGTTTGCCATATGTCCATGATCATCTCTTTTAAGTGTGCTTAAAAGTTGCCTTTTGATGCTTAGGAATTGGATCATGTATGCATGCATGCTTGTATGTGCATTTGGCCCCATCTCCATAGTTTATGGCCACTGTTTTAGGCTTGTTTGAGGGCTACCTAAATTAGTTTAAGTCCATCTTTCATGTGTTATAGCATGCTTGCCTCGTGCATTGTTGCATACTTAGCCTATTACATGTTATTGCTTGCTTGAAATCATGATGCATTTGGCATGTATTTCATTGGTTAAGTTGCTTTGCATTGTTCCTATGCTTAGTCCACCTTACATGTTGTTACATGTTTGCCACTAGCATAGTTGTCACATGCCTTGCATGCTCATTTTGCATCTTTAGCCTCCATATCTAGGTTGCATTCCATTTGCATGCATGCTTCACCTCTTGAGTTGAGTATGATAGAGGTAGAGCCCCTTTGTTTGATTATGTGCATTGCATTCCATATCAAAACGCATACTTGGTTCCTTGTGCCATCACGCATTGAAATGCGCGATTGGTGGTCCGAGAATCGAGAACCATGTCCCTTTGAGTCATAAACATGATAAGGGAGGTGTTGGTGCACACATTTGCTTAAAATGTATTGCCATGCCTTGTTTTGCCCTCTGCTGCTGTCAAAACAGGTTCTGCAGGAAGATTTGGCCGGTCGACTGAATGAAG